TTAGCCACAGCACAAGACAGGAGTAATTAGCTTTAGATAAAAACAATACCCAAGCACTCTAACAGTTGCATTTTTTTTAACTGAAGGTAAATAATCTTTCCTTTTATGAAACAACTAGTTCTACATTTTTAAAACCTAAATTACCTCTACAAATGTGCGAGAGGCTGTACTGATCACAAAACAATGCTGCACACAATAATAATGTCTTACCACTCTTCTTCTGGCTACTATTGCATAGATTTTCTGTTTTAAGTCCAACACAGGTTCATCTAGCTAGCACTAGCGCTGTTTTTTCAGTTTAAGCATCCTCAGTATCTTGGGGCACTTGAAAAGTACATCACGCAGCAGGACTTGCATCTTTCCCAGTAGCTCAAGCCAGAATCAGTCTCTGAATGAGCTAATGCTTCTAAGACTTGACCAGAAAGATCAGAAATCCATTTCTAGTAAAGCAACAGCAAGGCCAATCAGTCTCTCTGTCACCAGTCTCATGGGGGAGAAGCCTAAAAACACATGGGGGAATCTGAGGGGACCAGTGAATCTCAAATACAAATTTTGCCTTTAAAACTGAAGTTGGCAGTAACAAAAGATACTGTTGGTGACTCCCCTTTCCTCAGAACAGGAGAAGAGTCATTCAGTGGCACTGGAAATACAAGCTGCTGAACAGCTGATGATGATGAACCACTGAACTCCTGCCACAGCACCCAGATGGTGGATGTATTACAACCTCCTGGTTGCTGTCATCATCTAGGACTTGGCTGAAGAAAGGAGATATATATTTGTTCTCCTATGTGCCCTGATGGATCCCAGTTGTTGGAATGTCATTGTGAGTTAGAGGCAACTGAAATCAGGTCAAGCTGTTCTCAACACAGGGCAGCATGGGAACAATGTTGGAGCAAAAGGGTGTGTTTTGTGGGAACATCTGCACTTACCTGCTTTCCTCATGTCCGGGTGCAACCAGTGATCACAACTGCTGTACAGGCACTGAGTAAAACTTGAGCGAGTATTCAGCAAAATGGCACACTTTCATCATCCTTTCCCACCACTGACAAGTTCTGCCAGTGTCGAGGTTTAAACCCAGTCAGGTAATTCGTTCGCTCACTTCCCCCCCTTCTTTCCCTCCCCCTACTCCCGGAGGGACAGAGAGGAGAATCGAAAAGAATGCAACTCCCACGGGTTGAGATAAGAACAGTTTAGTAACTAAGGTATAACACAGATCACTACTGCTACCACCAATGATAATAATGATAAAGGAAAATAACAAGGGAAGAGAATACAACACCTCAGCACCAGCCGACCGATAACTTGCCCCCCTCAGCCCAACCAAGCACCAACCAATACCTCTTCCAACCCTGCCGTCTCCCAGCCCTTCCTGCTAACTCCCAGTTACATCCTGGGCATGACGTGCTGTGGTATGGAATACCTCTTTGGTCAGTTTGGGTTAGGTGTCCTGTCTCTGCTTCCTCCCGGCTTCCCCTCCTTCCTGGCAGAGCATGAGGCTCACAAAGTCCTTGGCCAAACCAAAACATCGCTATCAGTTCTGTTCCCAGGCCGAAAGTCAAAACACAGCACTGCACCAGCTACCAAGAAGAAGAAACATGACTGCTACTGCTGAACCCAGGACAGCCAGGGACATGACAAGGTGTGCATTCTCTTCACAGTGCAAAGAATGCATAGCTTCACGCTTTAGGTGCCAGCAACAATTCAACAATCATTTTACTTGAACAAGTATTTTTAAAGCGTTCTAAGACCCTCAGATTGAGAATACCACAGGTGTATGTGCACTGCAACCCAGACTGACTGCTCCCTTTGTATATACTCTTAAGGTCCCTCTGAACTAGTTCACTTGTGAACAAACAGTGACACACTTGAGATAACATGAGAATTAATCACCAGTGGCAGGTAGGGCTGAAGTACTATTCACATCCACAGTGCTATCTGAATTGGATTCACTTAACTTCCATGTAGCACATATTTTGAAGCTAGAATCAGATCTCCAGGTCATTGTGTAAATATGACTTTAAGTGCCATTTGTTATTTACTCTCCTTCTTCCTCATTAACTCCAACACAACCTACTTTCTGAATATATTTCAGATTAAAAGCTCTAAGTCTGAACAAATGGGTTTACAGCAACGGCCTACAAGCTTCTTGACAACTGTTCCAAATAACCCTTAGCACACACCAGTATTCAACGGAATGTATTTCTGTTTGGTATTGTCAAAGTTACAATTTTTAGAGTTGCACAGATGGACCCAAACAGCCAGTGGTTTAGAACTAAAAGCAGTTTGGTCTCTTTCCTTTTCCTGAATCTCACTTTGACATGTATGAAAGACTGTCAATCACAGGCCAAATTCTTTTTGCCAGCCAAAGACATGATTAAAAAGGAAAAAAAAAAAAAAGAAAGAAAAGATTTGAGTTTGAATTACTCTAAGACAATACTAAAACCTTCTGAAGTCAGGAATATTCACCATATTCACCTTTAATGCAGATCTAATTCCCTTTTAGTACTTCAGTACTACTGTGTAATTTGTAAATCCTTTGTCTGCTTCAGAGTTATCTGGTGTATTGGTTATATCCAAGTATTTACAATATTACTGTAACTCGGAAGATCCATTTGATTGGATCTGCTGTCCTCCAAGTTGTACACACTTGGGAGAGAAAACCGGAGCAGGCATACACCTTCTCAAAGGACAGAGAACCTTTGCAATGTAAAAAAAAATTCTCTTCTAAATTGAAACAGCAGAAGTAGGGGTAACACTGCCCCCAGCTTCCATTTGACAAGCTAACACGAACCCAAAGCTAGCACCACTCAGTGAAAGCTGTTCACTCTAAAAGCAGGCAAAATGTGCTCTACACAATCCTCATAGTCCCTTCTGCCCAGCAGTATTGCAGAGTTTGACGAAAGCTTGTGAATTCAGTCTTACAATGGACTTACAATACTAGCTACCTCCTCCCACTTTCTTAGTAATTTAGACGAGAACACTGAGACAGTCACACAACTGTAATTTTCCAAGAAAAAACAGAGCAAAGGTTTATGTCTCTAGACTGCTCAAATGAAAAAAAAAAAGCATCCTCATCCTAGTAGAGCACTTCTTTAGTGTCTTTTTGCTCCCAAACTGCTACCGTATTGAGGTGGTACTGGGTAAATTCTGCACTGTCACATGTGAAGAACTAGGCAAGCAAGAGGTTCATCTACTTGAACAGTGTGAGCATAGGGAGTATCAAGTCAGACACAGCTGTATTTCAGCTTTCTATTTTCGTGAGGTTGTGCTTCCAAACCAGCTGGGCTGTCCAGAGGCAGTAGCAGGGAGATGAGACAACTGGAGATGAATGTTGGCTTGCTTCCACAACCATGGTGACCTCATTTTCCTTAGGGAATGCTGGAACAACACAGTGTGAGAGCAGCAGCTAACTTCATGTGGGCACACACATCAAACTTCTTGTAACCAAGAAATAGCTATCAAAACCTAGAAAAATCCTGGAAACTTCTAAAAAACCTCCTGTAAGATTACTAAGATCAGCATATCACACATAACCTGGGAACAGGCACATGTGACTTAAGCTTTTTTTAGAGCTGGTATTACTGAACCACATGAGCAAAAGTCCAGACAGTGTAAGGACAGAAAAAAAAAAATATACCCAAACAAAACAAACCATCAAAAACATCCTTGGAATGTTTTGGAAGAAAAATCCTTGGAATTAAGAATATTAACGAGCTTACGCAGCTTGCAAGAATCCTCAAACTGTTGCAAAACCTTATTCAGATTTACACACTCTTTTTGCTTACTTTCTGCCCCACTTTCTCAGGGTACCACTCACATTCAAAGAGATACAAATTTAAAGATAATACAGCTTAAAGAGGGTAGTCAAATATCCTCCATGCATCTCTGGTTTCTTCTAATTGTTTCCAGAATATTTTTGGGTTTTGGAAGGAACCATGAAGAATGTCACAAAGCAGCAGCACATCAAGCTACATGTTAGGGTTTTTTTTACAGCCTAAAAGCAGTACACAACAATCTCTCTGTCAGCGCTAGGGAAACATTTATCTGCTACACAATTAATGTAAACTCAAGAAAATTGTTTCCAGAAAGGCAGCCTAAACTTTTTGACAACACAAGTAAAACCTCCATACAGCATTACTTGCATGTAGCCAAAAATTAAATCAGGACTAAAATCCCTCCTGTGTTCTGGTTCAGAGGAAAAGTATAAACTCTGAGGCCATAGCCAGGACTGTTTTGTTCCAGCTCTTGGGCTCACAGTCCGTATGGCTCCACCACAGCCAAGGGTGGAGGCATTGTGAGTCACACCTGTTCCAGGAGGGACAGCAGTTACATCACCCTTGCTCCCTTGGGATGAAGCAGCTTCTCAGAGGTGATGCAAGTAGACTCCAGAGTGGATTTACAGACAGACACAAGCAAAAAATATCAGTTCTTCTTCTTTCAGTTGTCTTTACAAACCCTGTGGAATCCCTCCGATTCTACCTCTGATTGCCATTTTTCAGCAAAAATATTACTTCTCTGTTCCCCAGACACCACATTATTGGCCTGCAAACTATTAAAGGAAATAAGAAAATCCACTAACCTAACAAATATCTTGTTCTTACTAATAAAACCAGAACAAATAAAAACAGAGCTTCTCTGAGCAAAATGAGTTCTCATATGACAGGACCAAAGAGGTGGGGCATGCCAGTGGTGTGGGAACTGCTCCAGCAGTATTGTTCTGATGCCTTCAAAAGCCTGCAGCCCCCAGAGGGGCAGCCAAACTGCACTTCTCACTCCTACCAAGCTCAGTTCTTATGCCTCACATTCCTGTGCATGCCACTGCTGTTATGTTTAAGACATCATTAAACTATTCATAGTATGCACCCAATTCCAATATTTTGTAATTGAACCACTTGGCATTTAGCTTGCCACAGGATCTTGAAACAAACCGGTTTCATAGATTCTATGTAGTATTTTTCTTAAATGTCATGGCGTTATTTTGTCTTTCAGGAAAAAAAAATAAATAAGAAAATCCATGCAGCTTCTGTGATTTTGCCTTTCAACTAGACTTTTCAATTGGCGGAGCTTTACCAGAGAGGAGGGCAGGATGGCCAACCAGTATCATGCAAAAGAAAGGTGATTCAGAACAAGACAAAAGACAAGTTTGTCTGTGGAGGTATTAAGCATGAACATATAAGGGAGTTACAGGGATTTTTTTCAGAGAAGTACTACTGGTTTAGAAAATACCTCCCTGAAAAATCTCACCATGACCATCACTAGTTACGATCATCTCAGAGGTGGCAGTATTTATCTTCTTAATTAACATAATGTGATTCTATTCCTGCTTTTATAGTGGTATATATACGTGACAAACCTTTTTTTTTTTTATATAAATATTTTCACGGAAGGCTAAGCAAGTAGTTATAACAACACTGCCTTGTGCTAGTAGAAATGTTTACAGGGAAGAGCAAATGAAGCAGTTATAAAAATCCTTGCAGCTAATAAGCATGGAAAACTGAAAATTTGCCACTTGGTTAGAGCACCACATCCATATTACCTACACAAGAGTCACATCTGACTTGATTTATCTAGAAAATCCATGGAGTCTAGTAGTTTTACTGCTTAAAGCTCCTTCTTCATTCTAGTCCAACTTTCTCTATGTGAGAGCAACGCGTAAAAGCAAGTGAGGACAAGTGTTTTCCTGCAGTCAAACGTGAAATTTATTTTAACACAGTAACAAGTAATGACATAGTGTAATACCCCAAGTTTTGCTGCTCCAAAGACAAGCAACAGCATGATTTGTACCATTTTGTTTTGTCAGAAATAACAGTACAAGTAGATGCAAAACCTACTGAAAACCATTTGAGCCGTATTTTTCATTACATGTTAAAACCAGGTGATCTATAGCATGCCACAAAATAAAGTTAAAGTAGAGGTGCAAGCCGGGTGGCTACATATTCCTTTATCCACCACTGCTATCATGTATCTGGTACCCTGGCATGTATGCTATGATAAAAAATATTTATACAGCACAGAGCAGTTCTTTGCAGTGATCATTAGGCTTTGACAAGTATGATTTTGCCAGACAGTATGTACTCTCAAAGTGATACTCTGGAGAACACATACCATAATTATGCGCAGATACTCAGTACCAGTCATAACAAGCCTAACTACCTAAAAGTCATCACCAAATTGTATTTGGAGTAGAATTCACACCATGTTTTGCACCATTCTTGCATTGGCCTACAGTTTCCAGGAAGTTGCTGTACCTTATCGTTGCTCCCTGTAGTCGATCAATTTTCTTATTTAATTCAGCAATGATACTGTGCAACTCTGTGATCCTTTCCTCGTAGCGTAGTGTCGTTTGCTCCTGCAAGTCTTCGTGCTCTCTCATTAGATGGGATTGTTCACACTAAAGCAGAAAAGCAGGGAACAGAAAAGGTTTTATGAGTAATTGCATAGAGGTCAATACAAGGTAAAAGTACACACCATTAATGGTTTCCTTACTCATCAAACCAACACTGCCTTTGAAAGAAAAAAGGATGGATATAAAATCAAGAGGTACACATAGGTCATTACAAGATTACAGATGGACTGAAAGAGTATACACTGTACTCTTTTTGTCGCCTCCTCCCCCTCTAAAGGGCAGAAGTTGCCCTTCCTGCTTGAACTAAACCCACCATTTGCAACTGAAAATAGCTACAAATATCTCTCTCACCTTTTGATCTGTGAGATTCATGATGCATCATGAATCTTCAAGGATCTTCCCTATGTGGTCTGAATTAGGACAAGTCCTAAGGCAGAAACCACATTATTATAAAGAAAACAAACCACACTTTGAGGTTATGATTTATTCTGTAGTGTATTTGGTTTTATTAGCCTGTAAAGATATGATAGCATATTTTAAATTAATTTAATCCATTCTAATAAAATGCTTATTACTTGAACAATTAAAGGGCTACATGGCTGCTTGGTTTCTATGTGTAAGACAAAATCCTTGTTTTAATTTCCCATAGAATTTTAAATCCAGTCCCTCTGGTTTGCTCTTCGCATCAGCAAACACTCCAATCACAACACACAATTACAGCCTACTTCAGTTACAATATAACAGTGCATGCTGATTGAAGTTATGCTTGATAGTGGCTGGAAAGAGCAAGACTTCAAGACTTCTAACTTTTTGCTTGTGACCACCTGCAGGAAACAATCAAGCCTCCTTGCAACAGCAGAATGGTATGCATTATGCTTTCAATGAAAAAGAAAATCACGCTCCAACTGACAGTATAAAAACTATACTCATTAATTGAAGACCTGCAATATAAGATCCGAGTGACATTTCTAAAGTAAAGGCTGTAATTTATAATAATGTACAAAGTCATCCAACATTGCTACACCAAAACTTTTGAAAATCAAGTATACACCCTATACAGAGATAACTCCCTCAACCCTTTGTATCATAAATACAAAAATTACACCCAAGCTAGCAGCTATTTTCGATTTGCCCTCCTATTTTTTGGCCACTCACATTTATAGCTTAAGGACATCATCTACATAAAAGGCTGCTTGAAATCTAAAATTTATGTTAAGCTTTATGTTTTATTTAAATTTGAAATAATTTTTTTCAGAATTTTTAAGTTCCAGGAATATGCATATTGAAAAGTAGCCCAGACATAAGAGCTCCATCCCACAGACTGCAGCAAAACTGTTTCTTAATCCAGCTGTAGTCAAAAGCACTTTTACCTACACCAAGACAAACAGACCGTATCTTTACACTTGTCCTGGGTAGGAGAGGACTGATAAATGTTCATCTGGCTTTTAAGACTTCATGTTTGCAACGGTATAGTATAATGACTCTTTATTGTAGAATCATTTGACAGCTTATTTCTCACATTTTCGTATCTTAACATTGTATCTGGTTGAAGTACCACCATGGCTTTCAGAGTACAGAAACAGTGTAGAGAAAATGTTGAAAAAATGCTTTAAAACAGATTTCAAGTGCAAAAAAGAGTTGCTGCTTCTGTCCTTCTAAACCTAAATTTCCTCTGACACACATTGATACCCACAAATGCTACCAAAGCATTATTCAGATCAATCAATAATGTGCATTACTTTTTTTTCCTTTAAACCAAAAGGATATTTCAGATGGAGTGTATAATAACTCTTTCCAGAGAATAAATAAAATCCCTATTACAATATTATTTGTCTTTCTAAGCTGTTCACTGAAAAGCGGGATTTATTTATCTATCTTGACTGACGATATATGGACTCCTGCTAATGGACCTCAGCCGTACTACCAGACTTGCTTTCTGTTTTCTCCAGCCATTTCTCTCTTGGAACAATGATGTGCCCTAGTTCCTATTTCTTTCCAAATTGTATATATTCAACTCTTTCAATTTATTTGCATGACAGTCACACAGACTTTTAAAGATAAATACCTTGTACCTTTTCCCTCATCCCTCTTCCAGCCTCATACTTAAGTTCTTATCAAAACCATGAAGAGCTCTAGTTCTCTGAGAAAGCAAACAGAGGGATAAGCCACTGAGAGGTTGTGAAAGATGAGCAATTGTTGAGGTCAGGAGAAATGTTGCCAGCACAGTTCTAAGTGTAAGTAAGTGACGAGTAAGTGACTCATTTTTTGTACAGACTAAAAAAGGTTAATTCAATTACGGTATAAATTAACAATACTTGGGAACACCTTTGTCTGACATTCCAATACTGGGAAACAACCACAAGAGCAAGAAGAATATGAGGGAGAAGGATGTTAAGAAAAAATATTTTAACCAAAGGATATTATCTCAACACATGATTCTACTGCCTAGTAATGTACACAAACTGCTAGGGAAAAAAACACTACCAGGTGCAAACCTTTATGTTAAATTCACAGTGGTTAGTCAGAAGACAAAAAAGAGCTCACTTAGAGACCCATCCCCCAGTGCCTCAGGCCCTGCAAACACTGGCTATAGTATTGTTCACCAAGAACACAAGTCATCATCTGAATGAGCCACCCTAATAAACCTAACAGGCTCACAGAAGCAGAAAATCTTCAAGCAACTGATACAGTAATTTAAAAAGGAATGTCAGACTTTAAAGTGGAAATCCACTCATCTAATTTTAACTATAAACACAAGTCCATTGTGGCAAATCCTCAATCATGCAAATGTACATGGTCAGAATTAATTGTTTGGTGATACTCTATGTATACTTGATGTGGAAGAAGACTACAACTAGACAGAGCTGATCCATTTGAGATAAGGACATCACACAACAGGACAAGTAATTTCAATGTTCATCTGAACACCATGTATTTCTACTTCAAGTTACTTCAAAATATTTTTTTACAAGAGGATGTAAAGAAATATTACAGCAGTAATGGGACTTGTTTCTTTGTCATAAAGAATCCAGAATGATGTAGCACAGTCTTTGTTACCCTACCCTTTGTTACCCTACCCTTTGTCTAGACCTATTATAAAATTCCAGAATTACAGAGACTAAGCACAAAGGTTGAGAAAGCAGGACTACCTTGTGAAAAGAAATGAAATGGTAGGAACGATATAGGTAAGTGAATTGTCTTTCCTTGCTATATTTCTTGAAACATCAGCATTTTATTAAATCCCACGTTCTATTGTAAAATTGTAGAACTCAGTGTCACAGGATGTTGGAAATTCCAAGAATGTAGATGGATTAGAAAGAATAGGTAACTCCATGGAGGATAGGGCCACAGAGGACTATTAAAAGTGATGTAGCCTCCTGTTCACAGATGTTGGCAGAAAGGTGGGGGAGTATGAAGGAGAACAGCACTCTGTATGTATTTCTCATGATCTCCCTTCAGACATCCACTATTTATCATATCAAAGTGAGGATACCATGCCAGCCAGAGCTAGCAGAAAGCACTGCATTTCTTCTCATAACCACAGAAAGATTTTTGGAAGAAGATATTTGTTGTGGTTGACCAGCACAGCAAATTTAATTCAAGAGATCACTTCATTGCCAAATTGTACACCAATACAAACATGCAAAGAGATCTGCTGTCTTATTGACATAATAGAAGGGTGTGGCCAAATGCTATAGCAGGTCTCCACACAGACTGCAGTTCGGAAATGAACATGCTACAACAACCAGTGATCAATTATGTTATTTTATGAAATTTTAAGCACAGTGTATCCAACCATCTGACTTCACCATTTGTCATCTAAATTACTTCAATTGCATTTCCTCAAATCACCTCCACCTTTCAAATCACTAATGCTTTCTTCCAAAGCATCTCACAAGCCTCATGAAATGATGGGAAAAGTATTACCAAAATGTGTTTTAAGAGCTATTTGTTCCAGAGAGCATTTACCACGCCTGTTAAAATGAAACATGCACTGCCTTTGTTAGTATAGTCCAGATGCAGAATAGAGATTTAATACTGATCCACTAGCATCTGAATATGGTTATGCAGAACCTCTACTACCTTGTATTTAATTTATGCCTTCTGAACCTCTGATTCACATTAGTGAGGAAGAAATGCACTAGACAGAGGTTGTAGAGGAAAAAAATGTTTGATATTATACATGATATGAATTTATGAATTTGGATGAATCTCTGTGGAGTGGGAGGAAAAGTTCAAAAAATTATGCTAAGTGAAGCATTTACTTTGGAAGATAGCCAACATACTCAACATGTGAGCCGTCCTTGTTTCTTGGCTTATTCTTTAGGAAAGACTCAATTTGATTGAATACACCCACCCCCAAAAACTCTATCTACCTGGGGGCTTTAAAAAAAAAAAAAAGAAAAGAAAAATTAAAGATTGAAAATAGCTGAATCTCAGAAACTTTATATAAATCGTTCATAAAAAAAGTAATTTTTTAATCTGACTTATTTTCTGGTTTTGTGTTATTCACAGTTTGGGTAGCAGCTGTCACTACACTTGTGTTCACAAGCACACAGCCCAAGATCACATAAAAATCTTCAGCATTACAAACTGAGAATATGCATAATTTGTAACCCATCAAAGAAAGCACCAAACAATTTTGTGCTAACAGAGCACATGTTAGTTGGTATTAAGGACTGATCCTTAATCCTGGCCACCATCAGTGGGGATTCCTTACTGTATGGGAGAACCTATGAGGCACTCTTCACTGGCTAAGAGACAATATCAGTATTTTTAAATAAAGATCTAGAAGTAAACCTAAAACATGAACAAAAAACCTGTGGTTAGCACAAGACCCTGCAGAGTAATATGTAACAACAAAGTCAGTGTGGTCATGAAGAATGATGTGGAGTGTTTGGATACAATAGATGCATCTGGCTCTTTAATGACTATCAAATGCAAGCTCGTATCAAATTGTGTGTCAAAGAGCTGCAGCAGAAATTAGAAAAGGCTCTCAGGATTACAATAAATAACGTTAACTCCCAGCATGGCTCTGACTCACACATCAAGAAGAATGAAAACATGAAAGCGTTTTGTATTTCTTGATGTTGCATTGTTGGTCTGCAATAAGAGTATCACTTACAAGCCCCAAAACTTTAAAGGTAGCTGGAAAAACATCAAGGAATGCGGACAAGGGCCAAAATATGGTTGGATGACTGAGGTAAGAGACTTAAAATCAAGGCTGCCTAAACATTTCTGTATTTGGCTTGAGCTTAAGTAACACGCAGACACAGGCTCCTATCAAATTGCACTGAAAATTAAGATCCTAAATTCACAAGATCACAGAATGGCTGAGGTTGATAGGTCATCCAGCCAACCCCATACGGAACTCAAGGACCGTCACTTAGAGCAGGTTGACCAAGACCAGGTCCAGGTGGTCTGAGTACTTCAAAAGCTGGGGATTTCACAACCTTTCTGGGCAACAAATAAGATGCTATACTTTCACAGGACAAAACGCTTTGTGCCTATGCAAGTATAAGTAAGTATGCATTTTGAATTAGCTTTGAAATCTGAAGTACTAACAAAAGGTATTTCCCAGAATGACAGTATCAAAACCCAAAGGTTTCACTACCTCTTTACATTTATCTTGATAGGAAAAGATTCATTTTTTTTAATGAGCTGTGAAAGCACTAGAGTTCAGACCTTATTCTGACTTAATCCCTTGGCTTCCCACTGACTGTATTTTCTACAACAGATACATACAAAACTGGGTTACTAGAAGCCAGACTGAGATTTCAAACAATTCCTCACATACCATGAAAGCACTGCCAATTGGCAATAACTTTTTATCAGTATTAATTTGTGCTCTGTTTGTATCTGACCCCGAACTGGAAGGGCCTGCCTTCCCAATCCAGTCAGATCATGCTGCAATTTTTATATTCTAATATAGTTCAAAGCAGTTGCTGTTTATATTGGCTTCAAAACAAGACTGCTTCTTGCAGTCTTCAAATTCTTTTCACTTGTGACATTGCTCAAATATTATATCCTCTCCCCACGTATCACATTCCTCTCTGAAGAGCAAGACAACACAAAACCAAGGACCACCTTCAGAACTGAACTACTGCTCACCTGTGCTTTTGCCAATTTCTTTTCCAATAGGTCACGCTCCCCTTCTGTTTGTTGTAGACGTTTATTAAGCTCCACTATGTCTCCCTTTAATGAAGCCAGGGATGCTAAATGAAGCTAGAAGACAAAAGGAATGAAATAAATTAACTAATTCACAAGTCATTTAAAGATAAGAGGATTATGCACCAGCTAAAATATCTGGAATTCTGTAGTAGTTAAAAGGAACTTATTACAATAAAAGTCTAAAAGAAGTTCTCCTGTGCTACTTTTTGCAAAGAATTCTCCAGACAGCACACACGTCCCTTCATCAGAGAACATATTATAAGGATAAACACAATGAAGTGTAATTCAGCTGGAAATATGCATTAGTTTAATAGGAGGTGGTTTAAGTTTTGTGTTATAAAATCTTACACTAAATTTGTATTATAAAAGGTGCATCACAATTTGATACCTTCAGACATATAGGGGTTATCAGTTTGGTGAAGGGAATAACTCAAGTTCTGTGTAAGAACTTGATTTTATTTTGCAATTAAAGTTTACTCCACTTTGAGCTACTGCTCTGCAGCTGTTTTTCTCCTTGGTTCTATGTCAGTGAGTTTCAGTGATTCTAATCTACTGAAGCCACACATGAAGAACCTGAACTGTTTTTCTTTCTGCAGTAGATCCTTTTGATGAAAGATACATTCCATATTTAACTGATAGCATGTGGGAATATATAGCAGACTAGGATAACTAACATCATCTAAATTACATCAGCTACACTAACCTAGAAATCAAGAATGATTCTTAATCCTATACTTGTAATTTATTCACACTCTCTTCCTGTCCTTAAATATCCCATTCATCATTACACTGAAGGCATCAGCTAGAATTCAGCACACAATATTGACAACTACAGCCAAAGAATCCAGGAGGAAAATTAGCAACTGATAACTTTCTTTGTAGTAGTAAAAAAACAACTGCAAGTTATGCCTCATGAGAAAACAGATGTGACCTTTCACACCGGACCAAGTAACACAGCAAACACCGCTCTGCTGCCAAGATTCAGACTGAAACATACACCCTGTTTCTACTCCTTCAGCCAGTTTCAGTCCTTCACTCTGACATTTTATTGGGCAGGTTACTTTTAAGTTATTTTTCTTGTTCCATTTCCAGCCAATCTGCTACTGAGTCCTATTTTAATATCATTTTACCTTTACAACACTAGAAGCCGGCAAAACCAGAGGTGTTTTCACACAGTGACACGAAAGTAGCTATATGACGGCAGAGAGACAATATCATTTGACAACGCCTCCTTCACATACTGTATTGCTATAGAATAAGCCATCTCTGGCTTCAAGACAGAAAATACAATTTTATGAAGATTTTTAGATGTGAATTTTAGGTGCTAGTAGCTAGTTATGATAAAAGCTCTGGACATCCTAATTTTTGAGCTCAGTCTAAAGTATTTGTATTACGTCAGCTATGAAAATGTCTTACACGGGTGCAGCTATTAATTTCAGTATAAATATACCTGCACACAATTTTATGTCGTGATAGGTTTAAGATTCTCGAGGCAGACTCATTTTTCACGTGAAAAAAACAGCAATTAGCTCCTGCTACAGGCATATGCTACCTAACTTCTTTCAGGCATGCATGCTGGACTATCTTAGTAAACCCAGCAATACCCTGACCATCTTGAAGTTTTCTTGGTCTTCACCAGAAAGCCTTTCTTCCTGCCACAGGAAACTAGGCAGTGGTTTTACAGTGTGGAGAAACAAGAATCAGCCTAATTGTACCAATATGTTTGTAACTGACTTTCAATTTTCAGGAAAGCTAGTGACTTTATAAGCCACTGTTTTACCTTATTTCCTTAACAGAGGGGAAGTGTTACAATGAAGCTCACCAGTTTGTTAATCACATCTTGCATTCCTCACCACAGCTTTCAAATAACACATGAAAAAATTGCTACAATTCTCTAAATTGAGTAAGACCATGCTACACAGTCATATAAGTACACTATAATTAAGTGATTGTACACTATAATTAAACGAAATAAAAAGCTGTGGTTTTAATTAAATACCAGAGCAATAATGTCCATACACATGGTGCTGTAATACAAGAGGACACTGCTAATTTAAAAATTTTGGTGAAAAACAACTTGTTCTCTGAACATTGGAACTAACGAGGCAGACTTCCTATGGATTTCTTTGTCCTGTTCCCACACTGTGGTCAGCTCTTCTTCACATCCCCTAGCACACCCCAAACTGAGTAATAAACAGCACTAATTGTGTCTAGTTTTTTAGTAACACTGCTGCCTGGCCTGGCAGCTCCTGCTGAACAAGGGTATCCAATGAGTGAATTACACCAGCCACCCTGTTCAATACAGGGTCTCTTTTATGCAAGTAACCAAAAGATGTCTTTATTAATTACACAGAAAGTTTGTTGCATCTTTTATGGTCCAGAATTATCCCTTCCTTTCATTACATCGACCGGTCCAGTTTCCAAGTATTAGTAAAACAGTAAAAAACCCCAAACAGCTTACTGAAAGGGAAGACTAGAAAACACGAAGTACAGGAAGCTGTAACACACAGAGGAGGGCTGCCTGGTGTATTCTTTGGTTTCATGTATGCATCCAGTCCGCTCAGCAATATGGCATACACAAGCAATGCTGTGTTAGTGACAACAGATAATGGTCCGTGGTGAAACACAAAAATAGAACAGTACTGTTTGGCACGGGTTGTGGGAACATAACCTTGAAAATAGGGGAGTTAACACAGCTGTTAGCAAAAGGGAGTCTTATACCAGTAAACATCTGTTCATATGCTGGCCACACATGTGCTGATGTTGCAACTTGTAATTTTACACTCCAACCCAAGGGGAGATATAAAGACCTGTGCAGGGACAGAAGGGTGAGAAGGCCAGATGCGCATCTTGATTCAGGAGACACCCTGATGACCCACTGCCTACCACCCCTCCGACCGGGCAACACGTTCCATCTCCTTCTCATGCTTGGCAGTACCCCATGCAATCAGGGGTTGGTATGTATGTAACCTGCTTTGCATTAATATATATATTTGCTTTGCACTATATAAACAGACCAGAGCATTTGATTGTTTACATTGTGTTTGGTGTCCAGTCTTTGCACACAGGAATCCTACAAACCTGGAACGTAACTGGCAATGAGGATGGGATTCTCGTAGAACAAACACTGTAGACTGAAAACAGGGTTTGGTCAGGAGGCAGCATAGCTGCACCAAGAGGCGCTGTTCTGTGCACGCGAAAGCAGGGCTTGGTCTCTGTGTGCACTGTCAGGGTTGTTCTAAGGTTGTTGTGTAATATACTATTGCTCTATTTTGTAGGAAGAGCCTCGGGCCGTGGCTCCTCCCGTGGAGCAACTGGGGTGGACACGGGAACCGTGGAGCACGCTGTGTGATACCACAGACACCTGCACTAATGTAGGACCTGAACCTTGGGGAGCTAAGGACCCCACGGGAGTGTTAAAGTATTGGGGTGAGTTTGTAGAAACCCCCCATACCTGCTCGAAGGAGAGATCGAGTCATGCCAGACATATGACAGGCTGCTTGCTGCTTGCCTACAAAGTCATGGTAGATAAGAACACAGAATGGGAGCAACAAGTAGCAGATTTACATTCCAAGCTAGAAAGGGTTAAAATAGAAGTGCTGTTGCAGAGGCAGGCATTTGTAGCTGCTGCAGAGTAGGGTGAGCGACTTGGGGAAAAATGTGCCGCCCTAGCAGAAAAATATGCTGTTCATGTTGCTAAAAAAAGGAGCAATAAAAAAGATACAAAGGCAGTGAGGCCACGGGTCCATGCCCTTGTGTCTGATCCTGACTGCGAGCCAGAGACATGGAATGGAGATATCTGGGGTACCAGTGAGTCAGAATCAAATACTGAAGACAAGGCAGACGTGAAAAAGGAAGGAGCCTGTGCAGCTCCTATGTTTAAATGTAAGATGATTACCAGGGCAAATGGCCAAGTAAGAACAGATGAATTGACAGACTATAGTCCTGAGGAGATGAGTAATTTATTAGATAAATGCTAGCAGATACCAGAAGAGAAGCCCCAGAACTGGCTGGTTCACCCCATGGAGGAAGGAGCTGATACTGTATTACTAGAAGGAGCAGATGCGAAAATACTCATGGGACTCACCTCTGATCTGTGTGTACAATCCATCTTACGTCACATAGGGGACCAATGTATCACTGCATTGCAGTAGCTGGAATGTCAGATCTATACACTAATGATGATGCCTGGCCACCTGCAGCTAAAGAGTGGACCACTCTGCAGCAAGCCTGAGGGCATGAAACTAGCCGTCTTAGTGGGCTCTCCTGAGCTTTTTATGCAACAGCCCTTAATTACCGGAACACAGACCACACTTTTAGAGAGATGTCTATCAGCATGGAAGGCGTACCTCACACCCATACTACTATAAGAACAAGGAAACCCCACTGAACAGGTGATTGAAAAGCTATGCCAATTCGGGGATTTTACTGGGGCTGGGCTTGGACAAAGCGGTTCAGGGCCAGGGGAGAGTAGAAAAGATATAAAAAACTGCAAGCCATCCCATTCCCGTTACGTGGATAATTTAAAAAGTATTGCTGATAGTGCACCCAAGTCTGAAGCAGACCAGGGAGTGTTTGTGTGCATGGGTGCAAGGTCGGGCTGGGAAACAGCCTGAGGACTGACTGTTTACAGAACGGAATTTATAGTGACTGAAGACAGTCACTGTGGTTGATGTGGTTTCTGTTTGGCTTCATAGCCCAGATCTAAACCCTCTGCTGTTCCAGCGGGCCACCCGTGTGGCTGTTTGGGCCTGGAGGTGAGTGCCTGGATTGGGGGGGAGACTACTTGTTCACGGGTGTTCGACAGGGGTCTCAGGAACCTATGTGTCTTTTATAGACCAATTGGACAGTGTTATGCAGAGGCAGATTGATGGTCACTGGACTACTCATGCACTTTTATTTCAGCTAGCATATGAGGGTCCAGGTGGGGATTGCAGGGCTGTGTTAGCCCCAGCCAGAGGAAAATTTACAGACATTGACAAATTGGTTGGGGCACGTCAGGATGTCAGAGCAGAGGCTCGGAGGGCTTCTGTGTTGGCTGATGCATTAACTAT